ATGTTTATGAAAGACATAGAAATTTTAAGTAATGTAACTGATTTTGAAATAGTAAAAAAAGTGAAATATTTGGGTGTTGATATTACTGCTTCTAATGCTAAATTGTATACAAATAATTATGATAAGTTATGGAAAAAAGTTCAAAAGGATTTGATGGAGTGGAAGAAATTACAGCTGTCACTATTGGGAAGAATTGCAGTGATAAAAATGAATGTTCTCCCCAAGTTTCTTTTCTTATTCCAGATGATACCTATTCTAAAAAAGGATTCAAATCTGGATGAATGGCAAAGAGGCATCAATAGGTTTATATGGCAGGGGAAAAAACCTAGGGTAAAATTTAAAATTTTGCAAGATGCACGGGAAAGAGGGGGACTTAAAGCCCCTAATTTAAAATTATATTATGAAGCAGTGGTATTAACTTGGATTAGTGATTGGATTAATTTAACCAATAGAGATATTTTGATACTTGAGGGTTGGGATTTATATTATGGATGGCATGCTTACTTATTTTTTGATAAGAAAATTGATAGAGCTTTTAAATCTTATATTTTAAGGATTGCACTTTTGAGAGTTTGGAAAAAGTATTCACACAAGATAAGTTTAAAAATTCCAATGTGGGCTATTCCGGAACATGCAATACAAGGAATAGTAAGGGGAGTAAAATTACAAGGTATTGTTTATAAAGATTTACTTATGCTAAGAGGACAGGACTGGCAAACTAAATCATTGGAAGAGTTAAGACAGGATAATGTACTTCAGTCCTGGTTGTTACATTTTCAATTGGCCGAGAGATGGCATGTAGATCAGAAAATGGGAGTAATGGTAGAAGATGTGAACTTGATAAAACAGATTAAAGATCAAAGTAGAGCCCATATTAGGAGAATATATAGTGTTTTGATAGAATTTGATTCGGAAACAGAATTGGTTAAAGATTGTATGATTAAATGGGCTCAAAATATTCAAGAACCAATAAATTTAGAAATTTGGGAAAAAATTTGGGTAAGAAATGTCAAGTTCACTCAAGCACAGAATTTAAGGGAAAATTTTTATAAAATGTTTTATAGATGGCATTTGGACCCTCAAAAATTGTCTTGCATGTATCCGAATTTGCAACCAAAATGTTGGAGATGTGGTAGTATGGATGCTACTTATTATCATATTTGGTGGACATGTA